GCCCTTCAGCGCGCCTATCTCCATCGGGTCGTCCTGAACCGCTCGCTCTGCCATCAACGCCGACACCACCTCGGCTCTCAGGAGCTCGTACGTACTTAGCCGACTGCTGTTCCGAAACACGTGCTTCTGCAGCTCGTCGTGATCCTTCAGCGCCTTTGTAAGGATGCCTCGCTTGATCAGGTCCGAGACTGGTTCTCCTGCCATCTTCTGGTACCTTGTCATGTCCTCGTCCAGCTTGCTGATGCTCACCATCACGTCTTCTTTGGCGTCGAACTTCGTGTCCGTGAGCTTGGTCCACATCGCCAGCACGTTTCCTGCCTCGCTCGGGTTGTACTCCTTCTGAAGTTTCCTCCAACACTCGGCTCCTTCTCCTACTGGGCTGTTCCTCACGATCAGCTCGCCTACTGAGTCCTCGGGCATCGCCAGGACCAGGCCGTAGTACAACTGCGTGCTTAGCTCTTCCTCCTGCGCGTCCAGGTTGACGTTGTCCACCTCCTGGGCTCCGTCCTCGCACCTTTCCAGAAGATCTCGGTACCTTCGATCCTGGGCGATCAGGTACGCTCTGTACTGGAAACTGAACGTCTTCCAACTCGCCCTGTGGCCGTCGAACGGCTTCACCTTGTGAAGAATCTTCGGATCCATCATCTCGCCGCGCGGGGCTACCCGCTGCTGATGAGCCTGTTGCTGAGCTTGAAGCTGACCTCGCATCTCTGCGATCGTCACGTCTCTGTTCTGAAGTTCCTGTCTCATGTTCTGACTCTCCGTCGTCAGCCTCTGAACTTGATCGACCAGTTGCTGCAGCTGCTGCTCCATCTTGATAGTCTAGCACGTCGCTGACACGCTTCCCTATCCTCTCGATGTCGCTTCTCAGCTGCCTCGTCACCGCTGCTCGCTCCTCCTGCGTGAGCTGCGCTCTGCTGCCGCACGCCTTGAGCTTCCTAAAGGCGGTCCCTCGGAGCTCGCGGTGCTGACGCGTGTCCGCCGACCTGCCTCCTCGCTTGTTCGGCTTCTTGGCCTTCTCCGTGGCTGCTTGGCCTCCACTGTCAGAGCGCGGGTCTGACCGCAGCTCTGACTAGCAAGGGGTCCTCTCGGCGCTCGCGTGGATCGGCCCGCCAGCTGCTGAGGGGCTCCTTGAGCTCGCCG